TAATAACTTTTGGACGATTGGAGATAGACAAACGAAACTTTGGAAATGTTTCTATCTTAAAGGAGACCATCTTCCAAGAGGGTCAAGATTTTTGCCCCCCCCCCCCCCCTTTTCAACTTTTTTCAACTATTTTTTTCAAATGGTAACCCCTATCTTGTGACGCACCATTAGAAAGAAAATGAAAAACTAAGAATTTTGGTGCAAATCGCAGATCAATATCTTAATTTTTGATCGATTTACGATAGGTCAAAGATCAAATTTGACCCATTTTCAAACAATCTTACCTCCGGTTCAAATTATCGTAGAGAAAAAAATAAGACGAGAAATACGAGATATTTTGGCACGAAAAAAGAAAAATTAACATTATATTATGAAAAAATTGGGGTTGCGAATTTTCGACCATTTTGGACTTTAACCAGCCACCATTTGGAAAAAATAGCATTTTTATGAAAATCTTGTGTCAAATAGAAATTCGTTTTTTTTCGTATCAAAATACCCTCGATACCGACTTTCTGGCAAAACCATCCCAGAAAATCGAGTCGCCAATTTCGGCCACTTTGAACTATTAATCAGCAGCCATTTTGAAACAATTTCAGAGAATGACTTCGGGCTTTTGCGAAAATTTTTCTTTTTTTAACCTCTTTGATCGAAGTATCACAAGGGGGCCCTTCAATTTGAAAATAATTGGAGTCAGTTACCCGCCCCCAAGGCCCCCTGAAAATTTTAGGGGGGCCAAAAAGTAGTTCCCTTTGGACTAGGAATATCCTCTAAGTTTCAAATCTTTAGCTCACTTATGTAAAAAGTTAGAGGGAAGGAGAAAGACTTTAAGGAATTCCTGTAATTCGATGGCAAAACGGGAAACTACGTATGTACCAGTTTGTGACGTTGCAAACTGCCTATCATACTTTATTATTTCTATGGAAAACTATTCAACGTAATTTCTTGATGAAAACTTGATTTTTCTTCTCTGGTAGCAGAATATTCTGTATAAATATCAAGCTAAAAAGTTGGCTTGGTTTTCTTCGAAAAAATAAAATAGGAGAGGAGATTTTTAAACACCGCAATGGAGATACGCGGTTTCCTACTTTAGCCATCTAGGAAGACTTTAATATTTTAACTTGTTAGGCCAGTTAACCTAAACTTTTTCAAAACCTGATACAGTTTACTCATGACATCATTGCCGAAACATTGATGACACTATACCTAACCGGAACTTTTTTCTTTTCCCCTTTTTCTCAAATAAATGGTAATATTTTACGAATAGAGTCGCTTTAACCCATATAATTTCAATTTTTTTAACATAGATAATCACTTGTTTCAGATATGGGTAAAAACTTGACATAAATTTTAAAATGTCCGTATATATTTGGTAATTTGGGTGTCTGAACAAACGGCGAGGTATCATTTGCAAAAGGCGCGTCATAGGAAACACGCAAGCAGCGATTAATCCTGACGATGTATTCATGTAACAAAAATTGTAAGCACATTAGTACCAATGCCATGTAAAAAAAAGGAAAAAAAAGTCATGATTGTATTAGTACCATAATTGTACTTATGCCGTGTTTGTGAAAAAAATCGATTTGAATTTGAAAAATCGAAATTTAATTGTTTTTAATTTTTTGCTTAAGATAAATCGGATTAATCCAACTGTATCACGATTTCGTGGAGTAGTCTGTGCGAATATTTCGCAGGCATGATCACGATCACCCGGTCTATGCCATTGGCCAGAAAATTATTTTTCGCCACCACGAACAACGTGATGTTCACCGGAGCGGTTTTCAGATCCTCGCCTTGAACGCATTTGATTACGAATATCAGGCGATGAAAATCTTGGTCTGTGTGTCCAAGCTCCTAATTTTGCGAAGTATAGTTGGTGATAAAATCTGGATAAAATATAAAATAATTGCGCAACATTTAGTGAGTTGAATGTTGAATTACCTTTGGGCCTTCAGCTCCCTCCGGCCCTTCAGAACCTGGAGGACCGTAATCGCCCCTGGGTCCTTTATTACCTGCTGCTCCTGGAAGCCCAGGCCTTCCTGGTTCACCCTTCACACCAGGATCTCCGTCTTCTCCTTCATCACCATCTGGACCAGGAGCTCCTGGCAAACCATATCTTCCTTGTCTCCCAGGAAGTCCTGCCAATCCTTGATCACCCAGAAGACCTCGAGCACCAAGAATTCCACGATCTCCTTTAAGACCTTTGGTTCCTGGACTGCCTGGGTAACCATCAGTTCCTACCAAAAATATATAACGTATCACAAAAAGTACAAAAAAGTATGAAGTATACTCATCAAATCAAGAAAATACCGGCGAATCGATTCAGCTGTCCTCCTGTGCTATCCTGCTGTGTCGTCCTCCTGTGGTGTAGTCTGTAGTGGTTGTAGCGCTTGCTCTATGATCAGGACGTCCCGGGTTCGATTCTCGGCCAGGTGATCCGAGTTTGATGGTCTCAAACGACGGTCACTTGGGGCTGGCTGAATTAGGTAGGAGGGGGGAGGGGCTCTAGGGACAAGAGAGCGCAGGATTATCCCTCGAGGGATATTTGAAGTGTAAAAAAAAAAAGCTTCATTATCGGCATGAAGTTTCTTCACTGACAGACTTAACTGTCATTTTCCCTGTCTTACACTTTTCGACCTAAAATTATTCAACATAAAAATTTATATCTGTCACTTTATTGGCTTACCTATATTTTTTACGGACCCTCCAGCTGTCTTTTGCTTCTGTTCTTTGTCCTTATACATGAGATAACAAGAACATCTATGATCTAGGATTTTTCAAGTTTTAGGTGTTAAGACCAAGTGCAATTTGTTTCCAATGTTGATCCACTTGTCACTTCCATGGAAAACGGTCGCAACTCTCGGAAATTTTACAGCAGTTAATCTTAGGTATAAATCTTCATCGAGTAAGCACAGTACAAACATATGAAAAACAAAGCTCAAAAGTGGCGGAAATGGCTAAAAGAAAAACCCTAAACGTTTCCGCTGAATACTCAGCTTAGCTGAATAATCAGCTGTGCTGAATTGGAGGTGTAGGTAAAGCTAGCAGGTATAAGAATTAATTAACACCAGTATATTACGAGGTAATTACTGTATAAAAATTTTACGTATATCTCGATTTACTTCGGCGTATCATAATGACGTTTTTCTGCGTAATTAATTCTTAACGGTTTATTAAGTCAGATAATCGGCTTGTTTGCATTCATAGTTTGGAAGCCGGTCAAACTGGAAAATTAGATGCAGCAGGTCCGAAGACTACGGTTGCAGATTCTTACGGAATAAGAGATAAGTTTACTCACCTGTCGGTCCAATGGCTCCAATAGTTCCTGGCAATCCAGGTAAACCTGGCGCTCCAGGTCTTCCTGGAGGTCCTACTCGAACATCACCGATGGGTCCTTTCACACCCTGTAAGAAGGAGAGTGAGAAATACGTATGTAGGAATGCTTAATGTAGAAGTTTGGAGCCAAAATATCCAGCGGAGAAGGGCCAGATTTAGTGGAGTTACGCACTAGGAATCGTAGTGTGGCACGTTGATCTGCCTGCCGTTGGCGATGCCGTTGTCGGGAGGATTTACCTAACAACCCGTTTTTGGGGGGAGGAACCACTAGACTACATTTTGCAAGACCGAACTCCAAATTCTAACTCATTTTAAAAACAACATCTGTGCCACTTGTTTCCATATGCAGATAGGTATTTTTATGAATGGGCCGGAAATTGTAGTTCCTTTTTGCAAAATGTAGTACAATTGATATTCTTGGCAATTTCTACATTATGCAGTTTAAAAGAAACATAAATATACCCTAGTAGCAGAACAAATTTTTGTTTTTCTAAAAAAAGTATAAAAAAAACATATCTGTTATCTAAATGATTTTTTTATATAAAAAATGTGTAACGCTTATATAAAAAAAAATCAAAGTTCAGACCTGACCGTAATATATGAAAAATGATAAAAGCTAGATAAGGTAATTTTTTTTTTATACACACATTTTTTATTTTTTTATATAACGCNCGGCTAAGGAAGCCTCCCCTAGTAGCAGAACAAATTTTTGTTTTTCTAAAAAAAGTATAAAAAAAACATATCTGTTATCTAAATGATTTTTTTATATAAAAAATGTGTAACGCTTATATAAAAAAAAATCAAAGTTCAGACCTGACCGTAATATATGAAAAATGATAAAAGCTAGATAAGGTAATTTTTTTTTTATACACACATTTTTTATTTTTTTATATAACGCATGCATACGAAAGTGTTAAAAGTGAACATTTTTATGTAACGATTATATAAAAAAATAGGTCATCATTTTCGTGAGCTTTACGCGAATTAGAGGAATTTTTAGTATGTTCGCGAAAAGCTCACGAAAATTATTACATTTTTTTATATAATGGTTACATAAAAATGTTCACTTTTAACACTTTTGTATGCATGCATTATATAAAAAAAATTAACTTTCGTACATAATATTTATCTTTTCCTTCTGTGGTTTTGCTACTAGGGAAAAAAAGTATATCACTTGTTGGAAAGAAAGTAGTGAATAACACATGAATCATATAAAACAAAATGATAGCTATTAAAATGAGGAAGAATGAATAAATGAAATGAAATTAATTAAAATAAAGTAAAATAAAACATGATTTAATATATAATATAAATTAATATATTTTATGTAATTATTTATTTGCATATATTTTATTTGTTTTTGCTTTAATTCCGTTTATTCATTTTAATATATTTTAATTTACTTACTTTATTTTATTTTTTTTATTGTTTTTATTAAATTACTTTATTTCCTTTCAGTTATTTAATTAAATATATTTTATTTTACTAATTCATAATTTATTAATATTACATGAGGTTTATTAGGCCACAGAGCATCTTATGACTATAAAGGCACACCTATTGAGTTTCATAACACGATTTTAATTTATTTTATTTAATTTTTGTGAATGGTTAAATTAATAAATATGAAAATATGTAAAGAAAATTAAGTATATTAAAGTACTAAATAAATAAAAAAAATTTTAAAAATAATCCCACCTATAATAGTTACCGAATCTATGTCAGCAATTCTTTCGTTCACGATAACTATCGTTAGATTTACGTTAGCTGTCTCAAATTTTGTATTTTTGTCCATTTTGATCTGATGAAGAACTGTACAGATTTTAGGTTCAATCGCATTTACCGATTACTTATAAACGGTAATTAACGTAAGTGCCCTACTTACGCTGTTTTTACTAAACTGTTTTAATGAAAGTTCCATTCCTTGGTTTCCTTGGTAACCTTTACTTGTTATCAGCTGATGTTTTATTTCCATTTCTCGGCCAAGTTAACGGATTTTATACTTTTTGGCGCGTATACGTAGTATACCGCCTTTGCGATCGTTTCGACCCCCCACTCGATACAATAACCGAGTCCCTTAGTTCCTTACCGAAAAGTGACTACCGCGAACTTCTGAGATTTTCCAAAGCGTGTAAAAAGTTTATTTATCCGTCAATAATTGTGATTTAAAGTTGTTTCTCATTCTGGGGCCCTCTAGTTTATGTGCAGTGAATACCAAGAGTCTACGTTACTTGGTTTTTTTTAAAAAAACCTTAGAATGGGGCGCGCTGATTTAAAATATGCATATATAAGCAGAAGCAAGCGAACTGATTCGAGGATGGCTGATCAGGTCGGCACTCGTTGAATGAGAATTTCACTTCTTCGTTTTGTTTAAAACGTTGCTTTGACAGATCTCCACAACCCTGTTATGATTTTCAAAAGTTGGTACCTCTTGCTCTGATAGCCGGGGCCAGCAGGATAGTGGTAAGTGCAATCTGTGATGAGCCTCGAGACTCATTAGACCATGTGCTAACCGTGGCCCATACAGAAATTCACTCCCCTATCAGGCCAAAACAGTGCACAGGCAGGCACAAAACCCAGGTAGTGTCCCGGTCCTGGCTCGGTTCGCCGCGTCGCTTTCCAGCTAAAGAACAAAAGGCGACCCTCGCGGTCCTCGTCACAGTCGGACCTAATTACTTTCACTCGATTACCCATTTCACCGTCACGCTGGGATCCATCACATTTTCGAAAAAATTGTTTCGCGAGTACTTAACAATTTTTTCCTTACTCTCCGTTCAAAGACGAATTGAAAGAGGTCTCATTCATAAAAATCGGCCGAATAGAAGAGAAATTACAGTATTCGAAATCCGAAGAAATCAACGAAACTTCTCCAAACAAAAAATAAAATGAAGGGGGAAAAAAGAAATGTATAAATTACAATTAAATATAATTGACCTCAGAATTTGGCAAGCAATTCAACTATATAACGGAGAAAAAATTGGGAGAAATTACAAAAAATTCGCCTCTTGCAAGGGGCTTCCTTGTAAGAATTTTGATCGGAAGGCAAGGATTGAATACCAGCGCAATACACCATACAATACATGGCGTGCCTGAACAAACATTTTTTTGTGTGTCAAAATCGAAAATTCTTTATATTTCTTAACTACAGTGTCTCTTGAGTCGTTTAAGCAAAAAAAAATTCCGTCAAGATTCGGGAAAGTAAAGGCGCTTTAAAAGTATTCTGGGGCTATGTATCCTAACTGTGTCCACACATGGTTTCTGTTCAGCATATCCATGTGTAAGTATTTTTACACGTAGAATCTAATTTTCACGTTAGGGAGTCGACACATCTCGATTTTTTCGATTTCATACGGAAAATTGATGGTTTTTCGGGATTGAAATTATTATTGTTTCATGAAAAATAAATGCACCCAAAATGACTATAGCATATTGATTTTTATATATTTGCTTCCACGAAATTGGTTGGTAAATTCAACGAGTGAGTGCATCGACCTGGTATATCAAGTTTCTGCAATTTTTTACGACAAATCGGTAGATTTTCGGGATGTAGATTGCTTACTTTTAATTCATGAATGAACAAAGCACGGACATGGTTGAACTTCTTTGCATGGAAATACGTTTAAAATAACAAAATCAAGACATATTTAATGCAATTACATTTATATCGAGTCAATTTCTTTTCAATAATATATCGGGATTTATAATAGATACCGGTGATTTGGATTTTTAGCCCCCAAAATACCTTTAAATCGACTGTATCTTTCAGGAGTTCGACAGAATTTTTCCTTTCTTTGCTTAAGTATTACGTAGCACTTTTCTTTCAGAATCTGATGAGATATTGCTGGGGGCAGATCAAAAAACTTAAACTCGTTCGAATGGCTTTCTACATTCACAATACACGGTCCCGTCAAAGTGCGTCGTTGAAGTGTTGGATCGTATGAATTCTCTTGTTGTGCTACTTGCCTATTTTGAAATCTCTGTAAATGAAAACTAAAGGGGTTGATATGTGTGAGTTAATGACGCGCCTTATCAACACATTGTGTTGGAGTTCACTGCTTGTTTTTTTTTTTTTTTCAATCATTGCCAGGTTAGCTCTAATTTTTTTGCCAGCATTTATTCTACCCCTCCCCTCACAGCTCATCTTCCTAACTCCCGTAGCCCCCCCCCCAACTAATTTTATTTATATTTTTTTTCTTATGGCATGCCTTGCACCCCTACCATCATATTTTGGGGTTTCATTCGTAGGGATAAGATATTATTTGTATTGTATATAGATCTTTGATATATAGTTCGATATAAAGCAGGATAGACAGGGACAAGACGGACTTTATTGATATTCACCGGGATAAAAGGTAGGAATTTTAAGAAAAGGGGAATAATCAGTGTGAAACGGGGTGGATAAGAATTAAATAGGATACATAGTGATAAAACAGGGTAATGTCTATCGATCTTCGATATATAGTTCGATATAAAATATGATAGACATGGATAAAACGGGATGGGGAACGACATTGATATTAATTGAGTTAAATGGAGGAAGTTTGAGAAAAGGAGAATAATCAGTGTGTAACCGTGAAGATAAGGATAAAACAGAATAGGTAGGGTTATCCCACCCTTCGATACATCGATGTTTGTCTATCGATCTTTGATAAATTGTCCGATATGAAACAGGATGGGAAAGTGGATTAATCAATTTGAAACTGGATAGATAGATTAAATCAGGATAGATATGGGTAATATTGGATATAGATAGGGATAAAACGGGATGTATTGATATTAACCGGGATAAAAGGGATGTTAATCGTGTTTGAAGATTTTGCTGTGTTTGTTGTGTTTGATGTATTTGTTGTGTTTGTAGTGTTCGTCGTGTTTAATATGTTTGCTGTGTTTGCTGTGTTTGTTGTGTTTGATGTGTTTAATGCGTTTGTTGTGTTTGATGTTTTTGTTATGTATGATGTTTTTGTTGTGTTTGATGTTTAATGTATTTTTGTCGTGTTTGATGTGTTTGATGAGTTTGCTGTATTTGTTGTGTTTGATGTGTTTGTTGTGTTTGATGTGCCTGTTGTGT